GGACCCCGCAGCCACGGCCGCGCGCTTTGCTCTCCAGCCCGGTGCTCCAGCCGCGACTTCAGACGGGACTCTGCTTCCGGCGGTCGAGGAGTCGATCACATCATTTGCCCTAGCGTCCCCTTTGCTGCCAGATCCCAGGCCTTGCACGTCCGCGCTCCCTCCATCTCCACTCGCAGGCCTGTGCGCGGCGCGGACGAGACACTTCAGCGTGAGCGTCTCCCATAGGAGCGGGGGTACCCGGCCTCCAGCCGGTCCTGGCGGGCCCCCGCCCCGCTCCCCTCCCAGCGGGTCCACTCGGCAAGCCAAGCACCTAGATACCAGCACTAGTCCGTTAATCCCGGTCTGGACTGAGCCGCCATTGGCTTCGAAACTGGAATTTTGCAGCTAACCCATCCAAGACTAGTACTTTAGGTATTGGGGAATTTCAGATGGACTAATTTTGTTTATTAAAGGATTGTTTTTTTTTAACGAGGTGTCTTCATTTTGCAAAACGGTGGTAGAATCGATGACTTTTGTAGATGCTTGAAAGTAGTGGGGGAGGGAGGACTATCTGATATAAGTAAGGCTCAACTGGAGAGAGACAAATCGTAGATTATAAGATTATGGCCCTCTCGGTGTTTCCTGGGAGACAATCTATTCTGTTGCAAGATGAGACTACTGAGACAAAGTGTGTTCCAGGAGAACTTTGTACAGGGGTCCCAGCCTCAGATAAGGAGAAAAGGGTTTTGTGTGTCCTTAATGCATCCCCACCAGAAACAAAAACACCCTCAAATGTGCTTTATTAGTAGAATTGGTTACATTCAAAGGCTGTGGCTTATTAGACATTTTCTCTAGAGGTGGAGCCTCCACATGAGAAGGCAAGGCAGTAATCAAGGCCCCAAGGTGAGATGAGCCTATGGAAGCCTCTGCAGTTCAGTCCCCTTGGGGTAATCACTCCCCAGGGTAACAGCGAGAATGGGGCACTGAGGGCTGGGATGTAGGCACTGAACAGCAGCAACCCAGGCATCTGTGCCCCACAGACAAATTAGTGGGCATCATTGAGTTGCCGTGCAACGTCCAAAATGTTCTTGGCTCCTTTGTTCAGCAACAAGGTGGCCAAGCTTACTCCCAGGTTCTCGGCAGCCAGCTGAGCTTCTCGTGGGATGTTCCGGGCAGTGATGCCCACAAGCTGTGGATCATCATCAGGGCCATCTTCATGCTGAGTGTGGGAGGGAAGGAGGTAGGATTTGGTGAGCACGAAAGGGGAGGTAACATGTAGATGTGTTTCTTACCCCCTCCCTCACCCTCCAGCCTTGGCACCTGGGCAGGGACATGGATGGTGGCCTGCATGGTCTCTTGCATGCTATCTGAGCCATCCAGACTCCAGACTCCTCCAGTAAGGTACAGCTGGGAAAGAAAACCGTTGCCTCAGTATGTTGTGAGAGGAACCTGCTTAAAAACTGGCCTCTTTACTGGTAGCTCAGGATGCACAAGAGAAATGCCAGTTCTTTCCTTGCCCTCCCACCCATCTTCCTCTGTTTACCTGGCCATCCTTCATGGCTGTATGCACTGCCACTGGCACACTGCAGCCTCCTTCCTGCAACAGGAAGTTCTATGTGTGAGCGCCAAGGACCTTTACCACCCCGTGACCAGAGACCTCAGACACAGACCCCTCTGAGGACATAACAAAGTGAGGCAGGGGCCCAGACCTGGGTCCTGTCCACACATTTGAGAATGAGTTACCACTAAATGCAGAGCATTCATTTGAGAACTCTCCCCACCACCCTTCCCAACTCCCTAAGTCCCCACACCTCCACAGGAGCCTACCAGGTGCCTCAGGAAGGCCCGTTCAGCAATGCAGCGAAGCAGAGTCTCTGGATCATGCAGCACACACACCAAATCCAAGATGTCCTGGTCCTTGGCTCGGACTTCCACCGCCAGGGCCCCCTGATGGAAATACAGCCTAAGACATCAGCCCCATCTTTCTCCAGACAGTGGAGCTAAGGATGGGAACCAGCCCACCTCCACCTGCTTCCCAAGTGCCTTTTGGGCCAGTAGCCTCCCAAGGCCTGCCCCTCCCTGGGAATGTTTTCCTTGGTTGAGAACAAAAATAGGCACATCAATTCGCAGCTTCCCTGGGCAAGCATACCTGACCCACAGCATACATGCACTCCTCGGGATGCAGGATCTGTCGGGGCAGAACAGGCAGTCAGAAGGGTGGAGACAAGTGCCTAAAAGCACAAGGCAGTGAGATGGGGCTTCCCTAGTGGGAGTCTGGCCTCTGATCCCCAATCTCCTCAACCTGGGCCTCATTTCCAGCTTGGAGTGTTAGAGGTGGGTGTTCAGAAAGAGAATACAGGCAGGAAGGAGATGAAGATTAACTGTGGGGGGAGAGGGACAGGCCCTACCTGCCCCACCCGATTCTGCCAGCCCATGCGCTGCAGGCCAGCTGCGGCCAAGATGATGGCACTGAACTCCTGCAGCTCATCCAGCTTCCGAAGCCGTGTGTTGAGGTTTCCCCGCTGTGGAGAGACGCTAAGGCCGGCAAGTGCTGGGAAGCCTGGAGCCTCATGCTGTTCCAGTGTCTGAGTCTATCTGCTAACTTCTCACCTTTGAGCTCTCAGCTTAATGGTAACAGCTAACACTTATCTCATACTTACTACATGCCAGACACTAAAGTGCTTTACAGATGTCAATTCATTTAATTTTCACAACAACTGTATGCGGTTGGTAGTATGATCATCTCCATTTTACAGATGAAGAAAATGATACAGACAGGTAAAATAACTTGTCCAAGGTTACAAGACCTCTGAGAAGCCTTCTCTGACCCCTAAGTGTGTGTTTAGATGTTCCAGCTAGGATCTTCCAGAGAATTCCCTACTTTGTGCATTGGAGCACTTAGCAAATACTGTTTTGAAAATTAGTTTTACAAACATTTAACACTGTAAAAATCAAAACAGCATGGGGTACAAAACAAAAATGGAAGCACTCTCCAATTCTCCTGCCCTGAAGTAATCACTGTTCAGTATCACTCTGTATTATCAATACCCAGTTGTCTGTCTCCAGAACTAAAATGTAATCTCTATATAAGCAGGGACAATGTTGATCTTGCTCACCATTATCTCCAGTGCCAGGCACTTGCCTGGGGCTAAGAAAACATGAAAGGATTATGAATGAATGGATGGATGGATGGATGGGTGGATGCATAAAGAGAACAGAGAGTACACTGCAGCCATGGGCCACTTCCTCTGGAAGCCCCGTCTATTCTCACAACTCCCAGGGCCCTCTGGACCTCGTCTTCCTCCTTGGCTGCTGCCTCCTCCCTCCTCTAAAAGGATACAATACTCTTGAACTCCAGATGTGGAAACTTTCTCTGCAGCTGGGCCGCTCTCCGCAGGGAGCTGGTTCCCACCACGCTGCTCAGAGAGAGGGTTTAAAATGAGATTTAACCCCAGGCAGGCACTTTTCCTTTCCTCCTCCTCACACCCCAGTCTTCTGTGCAAATCCCACCAAGATGCCTATCCAGGCTCCACTCACCTCTTCTCTGGCAATGTTTCTAGGGTCTTCCCAACAAATTTGGGGTGAAAGACAACAGCATCATAAGGGGTCTCCCGCCTAGGGATGGAGGGAAGATCACAGAATGAGGAGGAGGTCTAAGTTCAGATCACTTCCAGGCTGTTTCAACAGTCAACTAATTGGCATTTTCTGAGTTTTCTGCCGTGCTTAACACTCCTCAGGGCAAGAAAGACAGCCCAGAGGCAGAGGGCCAAGTCCCAAAGCCAAGGTTAACATGATTCCATGCCCAGTCCCCCTGACTCTTACTTGCAGATGGCTCCAATGGTGAAGCCAGGAGGAAGCACTGTGGGCAGGTCCTTCAAGGAATGAACAACCAGGTCCACTCTAGAGGGATGGGAGAGAGACAAAAAGAAGGGGTCCAAGCAGTAGGCCTCCAGCCCTTTTCCACTCACTCCTGTCTCTACGTCAGTGTGGAGCCCAGAGCAATTCAGGAAACAGGCCTTCATAAGACCCTGCGACCCTGAGACCTGCTCCCCTCTTCCTGTCCCTTCTACCCACTTCTCCTGGCCAGTCCTACACTCCAGGCAGCCAGACGGCTCAGGACCATGACACTCTTTTTCTGAGGCCTGAAAAACTCACATATGAGCCCCTCACTAGCCTATCCAAGTGTTTAAGCCCAACAGTCAGCTGATATCCAGATCCAAGGCACACTGGGGTCCTAGCGAGAACCTGGGAGGGCGCCATGTTCCCCTCTTTCACTTACTCATTCTTCTCCAGAGCGTGTTCCAGCTCCTTGGTAAACAGGCTCTTCTCTCCAATCTGTTGGGCAAGAAAGAGCCTCAGAGTGAAACTTTTGGGGGAAGGAAAGAGGATGGGCGTAAAGGATTGAGTGGAAAATGCTGTTACCTTAGAGAGTGCAGTATCAAGAATCTTGTCCCCTGTGGTGGACATAGCAACTGAGGAGAGAGTCAACCAATCAGACACCCATTGGTCACCATTTATTGAGCCCCTACTGAGCCCAGCACTGTGCTAAGATTCACGGTGGATACAGAGGCACATACGCCCCAGTCCCTACCTCTGGGAATGTATGATCTAGGAGGAAGACCAGACACACTCATAAAAAGACTCAAAGCAGAAGTTAAATGCCAGGCTAGCCCAGGTAGTCCAGAGCTGGAGGTATTCAGAGGAAAGGGCCCTCCAAGCTGGGGACAGCCAAGAATTTTCAGAGGCAATGGGATCAGGCTTTGGTCCAAGGCAAACCCAAAACCAGTATTCCCCCTTCTGGGAGTGGGAGGGGAGGTGAGGGGGATAGGTAAAGGCTTCCCATTAGCTTCCATTTCTGTCCAGAAAACTCACTGATTTCAAACTGCAGGCCTGGGTACAAGGCTTTCAGCGTTGCCACCACACTGTCCGTCTGTATGCGGGCCAGCTGGGGGCAGAAATTCAGGTTAGTCCTGTCCTCTGACCACTACACTAAGCTCAGACTTTCATAGGGCAGCGAGATCCTGAAGGGACTGGAATTCAGAGAGAGGGATGAAGGAGCCCACTATACCCCAACAACTTCCCCAGCCCAGGGACTACCTTCCACAGAATGCAATCTGCCATTCTGCATGTGATTCAATACCCAGTCATCCCATTTCCTCCACCCCTAAGCTGCAGGGAACCCTCCAGCACCCCCAACTTATAATACTGTGAACACAGAATTCTGACAAACCTCCTCCACCCTGGTACCTGCACTCACCTGGCTCTTGCGGGTACCCACGCGAATCACTCTCATCTTTGGGCTGTTTTCTTCCTGCAGAAAAAGTCCCCAGGTCACAGTCCCTGCTGTTCTTCGTGTTCCTCAACACCTTGTCCAAGAACCAGAATCACTGGCTTGGAAGAAAGGAACCTCAGCCCCTGGCCTGGGGCCAGCTGAGCCTCGGAGTGGGGAAACACTCCAAGACTGGTGCCTTTGCCTCCCTACTACCTTCTGCCTCCTTACAGATCCAGAGAAGCAGAGACCAGAGGTAAGCGACAATAGGACCTGTTGCTGTTCTTGCCGCAGTAACCAGGACACTGAGCCCTGAAGCCCATCCTAGCTAAGGCACTGGGAGTGCTGCACAAAGACAGGTGGATGGAGAGATAAGACCCATCAGCCTGGCCCCAGGGAGGGTGGGGCCTGCAACAGGCAGGGGCAAGGCAGCTGGGGCCACACTGGGGAACTTGTGCTGAGTCACTGAGGATAAGTTCAGCATCCATAATAGAGCAGCACTCAAGCTTCAATGCCACGTAGATGCCATAAGATCCCACACTTGCCACACTATGGATCCTGTAATCTGGTTGGAATACAGACGTAAAGGACTGGGGTTAACAGATCTGATGTATAGTCCTGCTCAGCCTCTTGGCTGGGTGACCTTGAGTACACATCATTTCATTTGTTCATCTATAAACCTATTTGCTCATCTATAAAATGAAGAAGTTTGCACTCAGGTATATTCTGCCTTTGATAGTCTACAAGACTAAGAGGCTGATCTGCCTAGTGTCCATTTACCTAGAGTGTGGTCTCTGGTTTCGCCGACAAGGAAATATTAGGATGTCAGAGACCAAGCCAAGAACTCAAAGGGACATGCCTCTTCCTCTTGCCAGGGCACCTTGGACAAAGGTGCTCAGCGCCAAGCAGGTAAAACTGGGTTCTCAAGCCTGAGGTCCTATTTCTTTCTAGATCAGACAGTAGCCATTATAGAGACTATGAACTTCCCCTGTGCTGGGACCCTCATCCTGTGGAATTCTACAGTCTGGCACTTGGGGCCTCTGCTGCTGGAGTTGACAGCTGCCTGCTCATGGACTCTAGTCTACTCCATGGCTATCACTTCTCCAATAAATAAACCCTGGGGCACCCCGAGCAAATTAGGCTAGGCTTGAAATGCTAAACATGGCCACTAAACTTCTGGACCACAGGGAGCCCAGAGAAAGGAATCTAAGGTCCCAGAAACGGCTAGGTTCAAACAAACTCTTAATCTCACTGATTCTGCACAGCATATTCAAGTCAAATTGTTCCATTAAAAATTATTTATCGAGCATGTATATTTTACAGCTACTGCTTTTAATCTTCATAACAACCTATCAGGTAGACAGGGCAGGCATCTCTGGGACCATGTTACAGAAGCAAAGGCTGGCTCTGAGGAGTGAAGTGATTTGCCCAGGGTCACATGGCTAATCATGGGCAGAGAGCTGGAGCTAGATCTCAGTCCTCTTACTCCTCGTCCAGTGCTCAGGAATGTCTGCAATGGCGAAGAATTCCTCTCCCTACCAGCAGGCAGGACAGAGAGATAAGCAGCTGCCCCACCCCTTTCTTATCTTAGGCTGAAGTTGGCCTCCACAGGCTCTGCAGTTTGCATCTCACAAGCCCAGAGCTGGGCCTGCAGGCTAGGAATAGGAAGGCCCAAAGTGGCTCCCCCATGTTCGTAGCCCAGTGGTGTGTCTCAGATAGGGACTTTGAGAGTAAGCTGGGGCTGGGTGACCATTGAAAGAGTAAAAGGGGAGAAGGTGCACTTTCAAGACTGTGTGCAGTTTGGAGACTTCGAGGTATGCTCTCCTCTCTGGATCCAAAGTGGAACATCTTCCCAAAGTGGCTGAGTTTCTCCTGGAACCTGTCTCGTGTGAAAGGAAGCAGGGGAATAGCACCCTGTTTCCTGCAGGTTAATTTTCCTGGACGGGGTCACGAAGTCGAGAGTCGTGGTTGCCAAGCCTGACGGAATTCCATCTAGATCCTTGCCGGAACGGGGCTCCGTTCGAGACAATCCATCTACTCTTAACCCCGCCCCCACCGCTGCCTGATTCCCCTAAGGCAACATTGATTCTCTCAAGGGCAACCTAGCTGCTGGCCCTTTAAAAACTACATGGACCAGAAAAAAAAAAAAAAGACAGATAATCGTGCCGACCAATAGACGACGGAGGGTGACAACTTGGGGCCAATCATTGCACCCACTAGTGCGGAAGACCCAAGTAGCGAGGGTCACAAGCTCAGCACTCACCGCCTTTGCGGCCGCGTTGCCGTTACCAGACATGGCTGTGCACGGGAGGAAGACCAGGGGCTGCCGCCAAGGTCCGCCGGATCCCGGGGAAGCCGAACCCCGGCTGACCAGCCGGCACCCGGCGCACGCGGGGCTTGCGCTCCTCCTGCAGCCGCACTCCAGCCTCTACGAAGCGCCTGCGTCACTTCCGGCACCGCCCCCGGGGGGCGTAGCCCCTCCCTGGGCGGGAATTAGACCGATCGCCGCAGAGAAAACCTTATCTTGGGTTACCAACCCTACTCCGCCAGGCTGACCCCGGCCACCGGATTCTCGGTGGTCTCGCTCTTCCTCGTTTGAGACCCAGGCCCAACTGTTCGTTTCTTTTACCTAGACCTCGATCTGAGCCAGGAATACTGATGGCCAGTAGTTAAGATACTCTCTCGGGATTTCCCCACAAACTAATTCCTTGCAGTTGTCTCCTACACGCAAAGGGATCTCCAATTAAGCCAAAGGTAGGCGTGCCCAAGAGGAAAATGATATTAACTCTACAAATGCTGCTCTGGAAATAAAGGCACCTTAAGCAACTTGCCATGTACCCAGGCTGGATTCAGCATCAACAAATAAAAGGGTCTTGCTCCTGAAAGTTAGTCATCTGGAATTCTGCAGCTTTATCTTTTTAGCTGTGGCACAAGCAATTAGTGCAGCTTATGTGGCGCTTCTGCTACAACCCTGAAGTAGGCAACGTTTCTATTTTTAAAATGAGGAAACTGGCTCAGCAATCAAAGGTCATGCCTGAAGACAAGTAACTGTGAAATGGGAGTGCTAACATATTATTAGTTTAGTGGGAAAGGGGCTTGTCAGTAAGTGCTTTACCCACTAACATTACTAATAACCATGTATTAACTATTACACAAAGACCCGGACGCCTGTCACTCATACCAGGCCCTGAGGCCCAAAGGATTCCAGCCTTGATTATCTCTGTCTGTTTCAAAAGCACCTGGAACTTGACAGTGATGTTTTGCAGCTATACTTTAAGAGGTGTGCGGTGGTCAACAGCCTTGAGCAGGTTCTGACCTGACCACAGGAACGCACCTAAGGCAGATGAGACCTGGAGGTGTCCCAAAGTTAACTTCGCTTCATTACCATGCTAAGAACTCTGTCCAAGGAGAGGGTCTGTACTTTGCTAGGCACAATTCTTGCTGTGTACAAAGGAGCGTGGAAGACCGCATGCCACCCGCTGCCCCCGTCTGCCTCAGGAAATCTCTGCCCCTTTCCTACAGCCTTAATGACATGTCTGCCTCCTACCCCTCAAATTCCCTTACTCCCCTCCCTTTGGGGAAAGGATTCTTTACAGCACAAGCTCTCCCTTCACCATTCCTTGATCAAAGAATGAATAGTTTCTGCTCTGCTATACTGAATCTGGTTTTGTTTGACTGGCATTTGTGACTCCAAGTGAAAAACCCATTGAGGGATCACTGATCCATTGGGGATCAGAAACCCAACCACTGATTGGCTACTTAGGCCTTCATAACAGCTGTACCAGAAAGATGTTGTAACTCCAAGTGTACAGATGAAGAAACCAAGGTGCAGGGAAGATTAAGAGCTGCCCTAAGTGAAACTAGGATTCAGATTCAGGTCATCTGATTCGAGGTCTGTATTCTCAGCCACTACCAATGTAGTGAACTCTGCCTCTTCTAAATACTACCTAAAGGTCCAGGTTACTTCAAGTAAACAAACCCCATAGGAGCAATTTTACAACAGGCAGTGTAACCTAAATTATACCCACACACCTAGCAACACAAACCTCAGCTGACGACTTCAAGCAGAGAAAATGTGTCAGTAAAGACCCTCTATCCTGCTTATCATCTGGTACTGAATACGGAAGGCACCAAACCACCCATTATGAAGGCAAGCTTAAATCCAAGGCTCCCAACCAGAATCTGCCTCCTGCTTGAATACTTTATCCACACAACAGCCACAGAGACCAGCCAGACTAAAGAGCAGGGACCTCAGTCCAGGCTGCTGTTGGAGCTCAGGCCTCAGGCCTTTGCAGAAGGTCTTCAGTAAACTGAACCCTGCTAGATGCCACAGGCCCCACCCATTACTGGAATGAGGTCTTGTTAACATCATCTTTAAGGAACTCTGTAGGAAGGGAAGTGGGGCTCTAGGAGAGCAGAGGGAAAGAAGTGCACCTTGCACAGTTAAGAATCACCAGGAGGTCTCCAGAATAAATACTTCAGGCCCGAAATCACTATATTCTTTTATTTATAGACTCTGGGAGCCAGGAGCCAGCACAGCCTGGTGCTCTTGGACAGAGAATAAAGCAGCTATTGTCCACTCTGAGGTTGCTGAGGTGCCCTCCCCCGCTGATCGGGAGCGATCTACACAGCTCAAAAAGCCAACAGGAGGAATGGCGGGCTGGCCAAAAAGAAGCAGGCAGGAAAAGAAAGCCCCCTAAGTCCTGAGGGCTATGGCATCAGAGAACAGTGGAGTCCTGGGCATGTCTGCCTCATTCCTGTGCAGCCCTGCCTCCCCGTGTTCCTGCAGCTGTGCCTCCACCATCGCACCCCCTCCCACCCGCTGCCTAAGTGCCCCTCCTGGAATGCATGAGTAAGTCCCGCTGCAGCCCAGCCTCCAGGCTCGTCGTCAGCCTGGCTGTGGGAGGATCGGTCAGCAGAGTCAATTTGTTGAAAACACCTCGGCCAAAGTAGTCAGCAATCACAGAGAAGCTGTCGTTGGAGCACTTGAGCTGCAGGGAAAGAGAGGAAGAACAAGTCAGAACTGAAGTGCTCCTTTCCCAGAGGAGGCGGAGGAAAGAACACCAGCCCCTCCAGCACTGGCCGCCTCCCCGAGGGGCAGGAGTCACCTGGCCCGCTCATCCCTACCTGGTGCTGGAACTGATCATGGAGATCTCGCTTCTGTTCCTGGGCCCGGATCATATCCATGACCTTCCGGTTTTCAGGGAGGCAGGTGGGGCAGTCGGCGTCGCTTTCTGAGTAACTCTCAAAGCAGTGTTGGTGGAAGGAGTGGCCACAGAGAAAGTGGACTGAGGGCAACTCCAAGGCGCTATTACAGATGCTGCACTTGGTCTTCTGGAAAATCTTTGGACTACAGGCAAGAGAGACCAGAAAGGAGTGGCGAACAGTGAGGGCAGGGCCAAGAGCCATGTGGACAGAGAAGGCAGCTAGACTCAGTGAGGAGAGAGAGGTCCCTGCTAGGGAATTACGAGGACCCGCTCTTCTTACCATCTAAAGGAGGTCACGTGAGGACCCCACCCTGGGCCTGCAGGGAGTCTCAACATGCTCCCAGCAGGTCCACCCAACCCACTGTGGGGGGATTTTTCTCTTTCCATTTCCACCACTGCCACTAAATTGTCTTTTTGGTCTTTACTCAGATGTGACCCTTTCAATGAGGCCTTTATTCAATTTTCCCCTTAGAACTTATCACCATCTAACAAGCTACAATATTTTGCTTATTTAATGTTTACTGTCTGTCTCTGCTTCCACGATATAAGCTCCACAGAGGAAGGCTTTTCATCTGTGTTAAGAACAGGGCTTGGGACATAATGGGGGCTCAGTTAATATCTGTGGAATGAAGAAACTGTTGTTCTCCGATAAAAACTTTACAGAGTTAAGGGCAGATAAGACTTTGAGAGTGGAGATTAATGTCTACTATACACATGTCTCTATTATCCATTTTCTGTCCAAGTTTCTACCTCTGAGGACTTCCCACAACTCAGATGTGTGTCTAGAAAAGGTTAAATACAGGCATGTTCAGAAAGAAAAGTACCTGCTACAGGGTAATATCCTCCAAATTTCAATTAATAACATTGTGTAATCAATCATTCTTTGGAATTCCTCCATTAAAAGAGATCTTCAAGAATGAAATGCTCAAACACACTCCATACAATCCTCTGTCTGTGAAAACTATCTAATGACACCCTGCAAAGAACAAGGTTACCCCTGCACACCTCCACACCCCAGATGCCAAGTACCTGGCCTTTAGCTCCTGGATCTCCTGGCGGATGCGAGTGGTCTCCTCTCGGTAGCGCCGCACCCGCAGCTCGTCCTGTGCGATCTGCTGGCTCTGTTTCTGCAGTTTTTGGACCAGGTAGTCCCGGATGACAGACAGGGTGGCAGTGGAGTTGTGCGCCAGGGTCTGCACCACTGAGATTGGGGACCGGGAAGAAACAAGACCATGAACCGAGCAGTGCTCTCTGGATAGAGCTGAAGGGCCCCCACCCCGGAGCCCGACTGTCCGCAGCCTGCACCACCGCCCCGTCCTCCCGAGTACCTAGAAGGGGTGGCATGAGGTTCTTGCTCTCGATGTGCTTGAGCACGGCTGCCACGTACTCCTTGCAGTCCTCCTCCTTGCGTGCAAAGTAGCTGAGCGCCTGCTCCCACAGGGAGGGCTCCTGCTCCCCGTGGCGCTCGCACACGGCGATCACCTGCCGGTACTGCTCGTGCTGCATGTGGTAGTGCATGATCTGCTGGAACCTGGGCCGGGGCAAGGCGCACTCAGGGTCCGTCCCTGGAAAGTGACTCGGACACTTCCCCTCTCCCTGCGATCCCCCAAACTCTTACAGTTTCCCCTGCTCATAGAGGTAAAGGACCCCATCCTGGAAGTCGTGCATCTGGCAGAGGACAAGGGCCTTGTCAAAGACGTTGCAGAAGCGGCCACTCTTCAGCAGGGAAATGGCCTCTGCATGAAGCTTCTCTTTGACCTGGAGGAGGAGGAGGGGAGAGCTGCTGGACATCAGGGGAAAATGACGAGGCCTCTCAGGACAAGGCAAGACAACCATCTCTTCACCTCAGTCCAATTTCCTCTTCATGGGGGACCATTTAGGCCCCAAGGGTGAGGTGTTATGATCTGAAGAAAGCAGCAAAGGGGGAGGGTACAGCTTAGTGGTAGAGTGCATGTTTAGCACGCACTAGGTCCTGGGTTTAATCCCCAATACGAAAGAAAAGAAAGAAAGAAAGAAAGGAAGGAACTTTAAATCACCAACCCCCAAAAAGAATTTTTTTAAAAAGTGCAAAATCAATAAGACAGCTCAAAAGAAAAAAAGAAAGGTTTAAAAAAAAAGAAAGAAAGCAGCAAGAGGCAGCCATGAAAGCAACAGGAGCAGTGTCTTTCTCCAGCGCCTCCGGCAGCTCTGCCAGGTCTCACCTGCGGATCCTCCTCATGGGCCCAGTTCTGGAGTCGAAGCTCGAGGAGCGTGTCGTAGATGCCCTGCGGGGAGTCGGGCTGTACCTCGCTCATGTGCTCAAGGAAAGCTTTCAACTCCCGTGGGTTGTTGGCAAAGATGGGGATGAACTCCTCTGAATTGGCCTAGAATGGCAAGGGAGGAGAGGAGAGGCCGAGGGAGTGAGCTGGGTACCCGTGCCCCTAAGGTGACACCTGTTGCCCAAAAGCCATTCTCCCTGAGGCCTCACCCGGCAGCCTGGAGCCTCCCTATCCCCTTGGCTTTCGAGGCTGGGCCGATAGTCAGTACAAAGTCCCTTCAGCAACTGGGTTGTCTGCTCCGGTATATGGTGCATAAGAATCTTGCCATAGCGTTTCATGTTGCTCTCTGCCTGCTCAAAAGGCAGCTTGCCAATGTACCGGAGGGCTT